GGGGCACCGGCGGAGCGGGGGGCTGTGGGGCGGGAGTGGGGGGCACCAGTAGAGCTGGTGGGGGCAGGGGGCTGCGGGTAGGGAGTGAGGGGCACTTGGGGGGCAGGGGGGCTGTGGGTCAGGAGTGGGGTGCACCGGCTGAGCTGGGGGGGCAGGGGGGCTGTGGGGCGGGAGCGGGGGGCACTGGTGGAGCTGGGGGGCAGGGGGTCCGTGGGTGGGGCGCACCGGCGGAGCTAGGGGGCAGGGGGCCGTGGGTTGGGAGTGGGGGGCACTGGCAGGGCGCTGTGGGTCGGGAGCGGGAGGCACCGGCGGACCTGGGGGGCTGCGGGTCAGGAGCGGGAGGCACCGGCAAAGCTGGGGGGGCAGGGGGCCGCGGGCCGGGAGTGAGGGGCACCAGTGGAGCTGGGGGGGGCCGTGGGTCGGGAGTAGGGGGCAGGGGCTCTTACTGTGGTCGTTGCAGGTGGTCTCCGGGTGGGGCTTGCGCAGGGCGCGGGTGGTCCCCTCAGTGCAGGGCAGGCAGATGGGCCTGTGGGGGGCAGCAGAGGGTCAGTGGGGGGCTGGGGGGCCGGCGGGGGAGGGATCCCGGGACCCCCACTCACCGGGCATTGAAGGAGAACTTGATCTTGTCCTTGAGTTTCAGCAGAGCCACGTCGTAGTCATAGAACTCGGGGATCCCAGCGCCCCGAAGCTTCCCGATGTTGTACTGGGGGTGACTCCAGAGGTTCTCCACCCTGCTCGCCGAGCTCGACTTCCCTGGGGAGAACCCAGGCATCCGGCTCCAGCCCCTGCTTGCACCACCACCCTCCCCTCCCAGAGCCGCCAGAGAACCCAGGAGTCCTGGCTCCCAGCCCCCCCTGCTCTAACCCACCAGCCCCCACTCCCCTCCCAGAGCCGGGGAGAGAACCCAGGAGTCCGGGCTCCCCTCCCCTCCCGGGCCAGGCAGAGAACCCCGGCGTCCAGCTCACCCACGTCCACGGTGATCCAGTGGGCCTGGTCGTCGATGTCGAAGCAGTGGGCGGCCGTGAGCACGAAGTACTCGGAGATCAGGGCCCCCTTGCAGGACTCCAGCCCTTTCCCGGGGCGCTGCGGAGAGGGGGGGCGTGTGGGGAGACCGGCATGGGGCAGGAGGGGCTGAGGCTGGGGTCCCGTGCTTGGGGGACGCTGGGGGGGGGACCCAGTGCCTGTCTCCAGCAGATGTGTAGCAGGTGCCGCGTGGCTCCGAGACCCCAGCATGAGAGGGGGGCTCCCCCCGGCCCCCCATAAACCCCCAGCTACCCTCCCCTGTGCCCTTCCCAGCCCACCCCCTCGCCTCCAGCTCCTTCTTCCCCACACCCCCGTGCCCCGCCTCCCCTCCCAGCTCTCCTGCGCCCCACACCCAGCTCCCCCATGTGTCCCCACCCACCTGCGCCCTCTCCCAGCCAGCCCCCTGCACCCCACACCCCGAGCCCCCTCCCCTCCCAGCCCCCTGTGGCCTGCACCCCCTGTGCTCTGTACCCCCTCCCACCTCCAGCCCCCTGCACCCCACCCCCAGCTCCCCCTGCGCCCCACCCCCCCCTCCAGCCCCCGTGCACCCCACAGCCCCAGCCCCCCTGTGCTCCACCCCCAGCTCCCCCGTGTGCCCTCTGCTCCCAGCCCCCCTGTGCCCCAGCCCCACTCACGGCGATTTTGATGCTGACGTGCCAGGGGTTTCTCTGGTGGTCGTTGGCCTCCTCGTGTGCCCAGCCCAGGCCGCACATGCTCAGCGTCTCGCTCTCATCTGGGGGGAGACGGGGTCAGGACGCCTGGGTTCTCTCTCAGCTCGGGGAGGGGAGTGGGGGCTGGTGGTTAGAGCGGGGGAAGAGAGCCCGATGCCAGGGTTTCTGTGGGGGTGGGGAGCCGGGGTTCCCGGGGAGGTGGGGGTTGGGGAGCCGGACACCAGGGTTCCCAGGGAGGGGGGAGCCGGGCGCTGTGGTTCCTGGGGAGGTGGGGGGTGGGGAGCTGGACGCCAGGTTCCCAGGAGGGGGGGTGGGGAACTGGACGCCGGGGTTCCTGGGGTGGTGGGGGTGGGGAGCTGGACGCCAGGGTTCCTGGGGTGGGGAGCCGGACACCAGGGTTCCCGGGGAGGTGGGGAGCCAGACGCCGGGGTTCCTGGGGCAGTGGGGGCAGGGAGCCGGATGCCGGGGTTCCCAGGGAACGGGGAGCCGGACGCCAGGGTTCCCGGGATACCGATCATCTCGTGGAATGCCTTCTGCAGGTCCTTGATGTCCTGCATGTGGAAAACGTGTTTCTCGCCGCTCTTCTTGGAGGCGAGCTCCGCGATGTTCTCCGAGTTCACCATGGCCCCGATCCCGAACACGTAGATATCTGGGGGGGAGGGACATGAGCCGGGCCGGGGGACCCCCCCCCATGCAGCCGCCTGCCAACCCCACAGCCCTCCCCCCCACACCACCCCGACCCCATGGCCCCAACCCCCACGGCCCTCTCCCCCACAGCCCCCCATGGATCCCCCCACCAACCCCACGGGCCCCCCCACCCCAGAGACCCCCCCCATGGACCCCCCGCCCATCCCATGGACCCCCACCCCAGAGACCCCCATGGACCCTCCTGCCAACTCCACGGCCAACCCCCACACACCTCCCCCATGGCCCCCCACGATCTGCCCCACTCCCCAGGCCCCGGCCCCCCTCACCCAGGTAATCCTCGCGGGGGTTGCGGACGTCCCGGCCGATGCTCAGCAGCTCCCGGATCTGCCCCACCACCGGCACCGGGGAGCCCCCCATGTTGGTGTTCCCTGGGGGGAGGGGAGAGTGAGGGGGGCTGGGGAAGCAGACGGGGGAGGGGACTCAGAGGATGGGGGTTGGGCACTGTGGGGGGCTGAGGTGCTGCCTGGAGTGAAGGAGTTCGGGGGGGGATGTGGGAGGGGTTGGGATTTCAGTGGGGCTGGGAAGGGCACAGGGGACTATAGAGGTGTTCAGCGGTACAGGGGCTCTGGGGGGTTCAGGGGGCCAGAGGGGTTTGGGGGTACAGGGAGTTTGGGAGGTCTCACAGTCAGTCATGAGGACCAGCACGTGGCAGGTGGAGTTGGGGTTTGGAGGTACAGGGGGGTTGGGGATTGGAGTACAGAGGTGTTTGGGGGTACAGGGGGTTTGGGGGTCTCACAGTTGGTCATGAGGACCAGCATGTGGCGGGTGGAGTTGGGGTTCAGGGGTACTGGGGGTGTGAGGGTTTGGGGGTACAGGGGGATTCAGGGGGTCTCACCGTCTGTCATGAGGACCAGCACGTGGCAGGTGGAGTTGCGGGTACAGGGGGATTCGGGGGGTTTCATAGATTCATAGATTCTAGGACTGGAAGGGACCTCGAGAGGTCATCGAGTCCAGTCCCCTGCCCGCATGGCAGGACCAAATACTGTCTAGACCATCCCTGATAGACATTTATCTAACCTACTCTTAAATATCTCCAGAGATGGAGATTCCACAACCTCCCTAGGCAATTTATTCCTGTGTTTAACCACCCTGACAGTTAGGAACTTTTTCCTAATGTCCAACCTAGACTTCCCTTGCTGCAGTTTAAGCCTTATCATGTCCCCTCTCAGTCTTCTCTTTTCCAAATTAAACAAACCCAATTCTTTCAGCCTTCCTTCATAGGTCATGTTCTCAAGACCTTTAATCATTCTTGTTGCTCTTCTCTGGACCCGCTCCAATTTCTCCACATCTTTCTTGAAATGCGGTGCCCAGAACTGGACACAATACTCCAGCTGAGGCCTAACCAGCACAGAGTAGAGCGCAAGAATGCACCCACCTTATAGTAGCCCCATCTAAATTGTATTTGCCTAGTTTATCGATAAGAATATCATGCGAGACCGTATCAAATGTCTTACTAAAGTCCAGGTATACCACATCCACAGCTTCTCCCTTATCCCCAAGACTCGTTATCCTATCGAAGAAAGCTATCAGATTGGTTTGACATGATTTGTTCTTTACAAATCCATGCTGGCTGTTCCCTATCACCTTACCACCTTCCAAGTGTTTGCAGATGATTTCCTTAATTACTTGCTCCATTATCTTCCCTGGCACAGAAGTTAAACTAACTGGTCTGTAGTTTCCTGGGTTGTTTTTATTTCCCTTTTTATAGATGGACACTATATTTGCCCTTTTCCAGTCTTCTGGAATCTCTCCCGTCTCCCATGATTTTCCAAAGATAATAGCTAGAGGCTCAGATACCTCCTCTATTAGCTCCTTGAGTATTCTAGGATGCATTTCATCAGGCCCTGGTGACTTGCAGGCATCTAACTTTTCTAAGTGATTTTTAACTTGTTCTTTTTTTATTTTATCTGCTAAACCTACCCCCTTCCCATTAGCATTCACTAGGTTAGGCATTCCTTCAGACTTCTCGGTGAAGACCGAAACAAAGAAGTCATTAAGCGTCTCTGCCATTTCCAAGTTTCCTGTTACTGTTTCTCCCTCTTCACTAAGCAGTGGGCCTACCCTGTCTTTGGTCTTCCTCTTCCTTCTAATGTATTGATAAAAAGTCTTCTTGTTCCCCTTTATTCCCTTAGCTAGTTTGAGCTCATTTTGTGCCTTTGCCTTTCTAATCTTGCCCCTGCATTCCTGTGTTGTTTGCCTATATTCATCCTTTGTAATCTGTCCTAGTTTCCATTTTTTATAGGACTCCTTTTTATTTTTTAGATCATGCAAGATCTCGTGGTTAAGCCAAGGTGGTCTTTTGCCACATTTTCTATCTTTCCTAACCAGCGGAATAGCTTGTTTTTGGGCCCTTAATAGTGTCCCTTTGAAAAACTGCCAACTCTCCTCAGTTGTTTTTCCCCTCAGTCTTGATTCCCATGGGACCTTACCTATCAGCTCTCTGAGCTTACCAAAATCCGCCTTCCTGAAATCCATTGTCTCTATTGTGCTGTTCTCCCTTCTACCCTTCCTTAGAATTGCAAACTCTATGATTTCATGATCACTTTCACCCAAGCTGCCTTCTACTTTCAAATTCTCAACGAGTTCCTCCCTATTTGTTAAAATCAAGTCTAGAACAGCTTCACCCCTAGTAGGTTTTTCAACCTTCTGAAATAAAAAGTTGTCTCCAATGCAGTCCAAGAATTTGTTGGATAGTCTGTGCCCCGCTGTGTTATTTTCCCAACATATATCCGGATAGTTGAAGTCCCCCATCACCACCAAATCTTGGGCTTTGGATGATTTTGTTAGTTGTTTAAAAAAAGCCTCATCCACCTCTTCCACCTGGTTAGGTGGCCTGTAGTAGACTCCTAGCATGACATCACCCATGTTTTTTACCCCTTTTAGCCTAACCCAGAGACTCTCAACACTTCCGTCTCCTATGTCCATCTCTACCTCAGTCCAAGTGTGTACATTTTTAATATATAAGGCAACACCTCCTCCCTTTTTCCCCTGTCTATCCTTCCTGAGCAAGCTGTATCCATCCACACCCACATTCCAATCATGTGTATTATCCCACCAAGTTTCAGTGATGCCAACAATGTCATAGTTGTATTTATTTATTAGCACTTCCAGTTCTTCCTGCTTATTACCCATACTTCTCGCATTTGTATATAGGCATCTAAGATACTGGTTTGATCTTTCCTCCCGGTTTTGTCCTGACCCTCCTTTCTCTCTGCCAATATAGCCCACACTCCCTCTCGTCTCCGACCCATCTCCCAGGTCTCCATGTTCCCCACTTACCTGCGGGCTTTGCTCACCTGTCCCCGTCAAACCTAGTTTAAAGCCCTCACTCTCACAGACCTTGGGAGACAGGCCAGTCCTCGCTTACAGACAACCCCCCAACCTGAAGCAAATACTCACCAGCAACTACACACCACACCACAGAAACACCAACCCAGGAACCAATCCCTGTAGCAAACCTCGTTGCCTACTCTGTCCCCATATCTACTCTGGCGACACCATCGGAGACCCAACCACATCAGCCACACCATCAAGGGCTCATTCACCTGCACATCTACCAATGGGATATTTGCCATCAGGTGCCAGCAATGCCCCTCTGCCATGTACATTGGCCAAACCGGACAGTCTCTACGCAAAGGAATAAATGGACACAAATCGGACATCGGGAATGATAACACACAAAAGCCAGTAGGAGACACTTCAATTTCCCTAGACAGTCGATAACAGATTGAAAAGTCACTATCATTGAACAAAAAACCTTCAGAAACAGACTTGAGAGAGAAACAGCAGAACTACAATTCATTTGCAAATGTAACCCCATTAATTTGGGCTGGAATAGGGCCTGGGAGTGGCTGGCTCATTACAGAAGCAGCTTTGCCTCTCCTGGATTGACACCTCCTCATCTATTATTGGGAGTGGCCCAATCCCCCCTGCTGGAACTGGCCCTGTCCACACTGGTTCTCCACTGGCGAGGAAACTCCCGTCTCTGCACGTGTCAGTATAACAGCGCCTGCAGCTGTAACTTTCACTCCAGGCAGCGGAAGAAGTGGGGTTTTTACCCAGGAAAGCTTATCCCCAAATCAATCTGTTCGTCTTTAAGGTGCCACCGGACTCCCCATTCTTACTGTACCGATGACTGTAACCTCACTAGAACAGCCGTGCTCAGGGCATCATGAGCCTTTTGAACACACCCGACATGACAAACTTTGCATTGGATGCCACACAATCCATTTATAAAGATGAACATGGGGGTGCAGGGTGTTCCCCCGAGGTACAAAGCGTCACAAGGAGTCCCCCATGCCCCACCCCAGAGCCAGCCGCATGTCAGCGCAGGCGGGAGGGGTCCCTGGATAACCAGCCCCTGCCCCACCCCAGAGGGGCTGCATCTGGGCTGGAGGACTGGTGACTCAACCCCCTCTCTCCTCGCCCGGCCTCAGAAACGCTACGAGCCCCGCAGGGGGCGGCTGATCGTCTGTGGCCACAGGACGCTGGACCTGGACGGGATCTACTGCCTGCTTAGCGACGACCACGGCGAGAACTGGCGCCTCGGGGGGGCCCTGCGCGGGATCCCCTACGGGCGCCCCAAGTTAGCCCACGACTTCAACCCCGACGAGTGCCAGGTGAGCAGGATGGGACCCAGGCGTCCGGGACGGGCCTCCTCCTCAGACAGAGAGGCGATGGGACCCAAGCGTCCGGGACGGGACCCCCAGCTCCCAGTGCCCAGACAGAGGGGATGGGACCCAGGTGTCCGGGACGGGCCCCCCTCCTCAGACAGAGAGGGGATGGAACCCAGGCGTCCGGGACGGGCCCCTTCCTCAGACAGAGAGGGGATGGGACCCAGGCGTCCGGGACAGCCCCCCTCCTCAGACAGAGATGGGATGGGACCCAGGTGTCCGGGACAGGACCCCCCAGCTCCCAGTGCCCAGACAGGGAGGGGATGGGACCCAGGCGTCCATGGTGAGGGGGTGGCAGGGCAGAAGGAACCCAGGTGTCCGGGTTAACCCCCCCTCCCCCTCCCCAGCCCTACGAGCTGCCGGACGGGTCGCTGGTGATCAACGCCCGGAACCAGAACTTCTACCACTGCCCCTGCCGCATCCTGGCCCGGAGCTGGGATGCCGGCGAGACCCTCCCCCCCGAGGCCGTGACCTTTGACCCCACCCTGGTGGACCCCGCCGTGGCGGCCGGAGCCGTGGTCACCGGGGGCCTGGTCTTCTTCAGCAACCCGGCCAACGACACCCACCGTGCGTGGGGGGGGCAGCGCTGGGGGCGGGGGGGGCCTGTGGGGCGCTTGGGCTGCAGGGGGGTCGCTGTGGGGGGCGCAGGGCGAGGGAGGGCAGGGACCTGTCCTGGGGGAGCTGTATAGGGGGTGGGGGCTGCACTGGGGGCACATGGGGGGGCTCTGTGCATCTCTCACCCCCTTTTCTCCCCCGCCCCAGGCGTGAACCTGACCCTGCGCTGGACTTCGGCCAAGGGCATCTCCTGGTGGCAGCGCCCCCTGCAGGTCTGGGCGGGGCCCAGCGGCTACTCCTCCCTAGACGTCATGGAGCCCTGGGATGCCCCCGGGGAGCCCCCCACCCTCTACCTCATCTACGAGAAGGGGCGGAACCAGTCCATCGAGAGCATCTCATTGGTCAAGATCAGCCTCTCCGGGAGCCTCTGACGCCCCACCCAGCCCCAGGCAGCGCTGAGAGCCCCGGGGGTCCCTGCCCCACTCCCAGCCTGGCCCCAGGGGCGCTGGAGGGGGGGGGAATCGGCCCCGAACCCTGGAATCAAAGGGGAACGAACTGTACGAACGGAGCAATAAAGGAAACAAAACTTCTCTGCCTGGCTGAAATAATTTACAAGGGGGCTGCGGGTCGGGAGTGAGGGGCACTGGCAGAGCTGTGGGGGGAGCCCAGGGCTGGGCTGGCAGGGGCTGCGGGTCGGGAGTGAGGGGCACCGGCAGAGCTGGGGGGAGCCCAGGGCTGGGCTGGCAGAGGCTGCGGGTCGGGAGTGAGGGGCACCGGCCGGGCTGGGGGGGCAGGGCTGGCAGAGGCTGTGGGGGGGACACGCAGGGGGGCAGGGCTGGCAGAGGCTGGGGGGGACACGCGGGGGGCAGGGCTGGCAGAGGCTGGGGGGGCACGGAAGGGGGGGCTGGGC